CAAAAAGGGATAATTTGAGCTCTTCTTTTCCAATTATTACTCCTTTAATTTCCTTCTCTTGTCTTATTGCTCTTGCAAGAGTTTCAAGTACTATGTTAAAGAGAAGTGGGCATAGTGGACAGCCTTGTCTGGTTCCCGATTTCAATGTGAATACTTCCAGTTTTTCTCTATTTAGAATGATGTTGGCTTTGGGTTTGTTATATATGGCTTTAATTATGTTGAGGTATGTTCCCTCCAGTCCAATTCCGTCTAGGACTTTGAACATAAATGCATGTTGAATTTTGTCAAAGGCCTTCTCTGCATCTATTAAGATGACAATGTGGTTCTTGTCTTTGAGTCCATTTATATGATTTATGACATTTATTGACTTACGTATATTGAACCAACCCTGAACCTCTCGGATAAAGCTGACTTGATCATGGTGGATGATTTTTTTTTGATGTGTGTCTGTATGCAGTTTGCAAGTATCTTGTTGAGAATTTTTGCATCTATGTTCATTAAGGATATGGGTCATTGCTTTCATTTTTGGTTGTATCTTTACCTTGCTTTGGTATTAGAGTGATGCTGGCTTCATAGAAGGAATTTAGAAGTTCTCCCTCCATTCCTATCTTTTAGAGTAAATTAAGTAGCATTGGATATAGATCTTCTTTAAATGTCTGCTAGAATTCTGCTGTAAATCCGTCTGGTCCTGGGCTTTTTTTTAGTCAAGATATTGGCTGGGAGGTTTTGTATTACTCTTTCAATTTCCTCATGTGTTAGGGTTGTGTTTAAGCTGTTGATCTCTTTTTGGTTTAGTTTTGGTGGTTCTCATGCTTTTAGATACCCATCCATTTGTTTTAGGTTTTCAAATATGGTAGTGTATATGTTTTTTAAAGTATTCCTTTATAATGTTGTGGATCTTTTTGATGTCTGTGGTGATGTTTCCCCTTTCATCACTGATTTTGTTGATTTGGAGGTGCTCTTTCTTTCTTTTGGTTAACTGGGCTAGTGGTCTGTCAATCTTATTTATCTTTTCAAAGAACCAGCTTTTGGAATTGTTGTTTCTTTGTATTGTTTTCTTTATTTCAATTTTATTAATTTCTGCCCTGATTTTTGTTATTTCTTCTTGTCTGCTGGATTTGGGTTTCGTTTGCTGTTGCTTTTCAAGTGTGTTGAGTTGCAATGTTAAGTCATTTATTTGTGTTCTTTCCGATTTTTTGATGACATGTTGTATGACTATAATTCATAAGTTTGGTCTTTTTATGGTGTCACACAATTCCTGCATATTCCATTCTTGTGATTTCTTAAATTTTTCATAATCTTTGCTTGAGTGGTCTAGTTTGTCCACTTTATCTTCCAGTCTTGATACTCTGTTTTCCATTTCATTCATCCTATTGGTGAGGCTTTCTCCTGTCGTTTCTAATTGGCTTACTGAGTGTTTCACTTCCTTCTTCATTTCAGCCTGAGTAGTCTTCAGTATTTCTAGCTCTTTTCTGAATTCATTCAGAAGCTTATCCCTGTCTTCCTTCAGTTCTTTGATTTATTTGTGTGTTCTTCATATTCACTGAATTCTTTCATCATGTTTATAATTGTTCTTTTGAATTCCATGTCCTGTGTTATCTCTAGGGGTTTCTCACTGTACTCCTCTACAGAACTGTTGGTGTACTCCTCTAGAGGACTATTGGTACTTGGTGGGGATATATTATTTTGGTTTTTCATGTTATTATTTTTTGTGACTTTGACTTGTGAATTTATTTTGTAATTTCTGATTCTTGTGTGAGACTCAAGCCTTCATGTCTTGAGTTTAGGTCTGCTTCTTTTTGTAAACTTTATGTGCCTTTGCAGTTTACTTGTTGGGCTTGAAAAGCTAATTGGTCTAGGCTTCAGGTTCTCTCTTTTGATTTTATATTGGAGTGGCCTAATTGCTTTTGTCTTCAGGAGTTCCCACAGAGGACCAAGTCAGATGAGGATCAGATGCTTTCAGGCTTTCTCCCAAGGTCTGGATCCCTCCAGGAAAGATTCTGGCCTCAGGAATTTGGGGGTTGGACTGGCCTGGGATCAGGGCCCAGGAAAGCTGCTGGTCTAGGGCAGCTGGTGGCTGTGCCACCCAGAAATGCAAAGGGAGATAGGGGCAGGAAGGAAGAGGCCCCAAGGGCTCCTGAGGACTGTACTGAGGAACCAGGTTGGTCTGGATGCAAAGGATCAGGAAGAAGAAAGGTCAGCCCCGGTGTCCAGGAAAGAGGCTGGTGGGTAGTGCAGCCCAGGGAAGCAGAGGGAGGTGAGCCTGGGGCCAGGCCAGAGGGATCCTAGGGACCCCAGAAGGAACTGGGTTGATCTGGATGCAAAGGATCAGGAAGCCGTGTGGTTCCCCTGGTGTCTTGGGTGCCAAGACAAGGAATGCGACAGGACCCTGGCTAGGAGGAGAGATGGGCAGGAGAGATGGGAGGGTGAATGAGGCTCGGGGGAGTCAAGGCATGGCGAGATGGACTTATGGGGAGAGAGGCCTGTGGGTCGAAGAGAGGCCTGCAGGTAATGCAGGCCCAGGAAAGCAGAGGGAGGTGAGGGCGGAGCCAGGGCCAGAGGGCTCCTGGCGACTTGAGAAGGAACTGAGTTGCTCTGGATGCAAAGGATCAGGAGGAAGCAGTGGTGGTTCCCTAGGTGTCCGAGGTGCCAAGACAAGGAATGGGACAGGACCCAGGCTAGGCGGAGAGACTGGCGGCCGAAATGAGAGGGTGAATGAGGCTGGGGAACCAAGGCGCGGAGGGCGCGATCAACTCAACCCAGAGCTAATCCAGCATTTTTTTTATACACTCCTAGAGAGAAACTAATTGTGAAATTTAAATTTTATGACCACACACTGTATCGAGGTTGCCCTTGGGCTGCAAATATGCATATTATAAATCAGGAATAAGCTGTCATCTTTAAGTTCACATTCTCTGGAGATATTAACTCTGAGCTACAACTAGTCCCTCATACTCCCTATCTTTGTGCCACCTCTAAAGAATCCCCATCATATTCTTTAATTTATCATCCAATTCCTCTGAACACTTATGCTCTATAGAGTTAGCTTGCTTATTTGTTTGTTTAGTGGTTGTACCCCCCACTTCTTCATCAGAATGAAGCTCTGTGGAGGGAAGGGCTCTGTCAGTCCAGTCCATTATGGGTTTTTTTCTCTTAGTATGAACCCATCGCGCAATCTCTACTAAATAAATGTGTGTGGGAACACTCGGATGTTACATTGTCAGGTAAGGCTTCCTGGATCACCCTACCTAAATTACCCTCAACACTCCCTGCATCTTTACCTTCTTGATTTTTCTTAACATTCATCACTGGGTGATGGAGGCTGCATGTCCTCTGGTTTTCATCCATCTGCTCTACTTGCATGTGAGCTCATTAGCAGTATCTATTACTTTCACTGTTCCCTTCTCGGAGCTTAGTACAGTGCCTAGCATAAAAAAAGCAGTCAAAGAGGTGGAATGAATAAATGAATTTAAGTTGGAATCCAGATTACACATTATAGCCATGTCAGTTGCCAAGTTCTCTCCCACATTTGCTATTACTTTTGAGTCACTATGACCAAAACACTGGACAGAAGCAACTTGAAGGGTGAAAGGTTTATTTCAGCTCATGGTTTTAGAGGATTGCTGTCCATCACAGCAGGCTTGGGAAAGTGGAGTAGCTAGATCCATAGTGACAGAAGCATCCAGGGGTGGCTCCTTCACATGGCAAGGCTACAGGAGGGCACAGAAAACTAGATTAAATGAGGGACTGGTACCACCTTTAAAAGCTTGCCCCAAGGGACCTGCTTTCACCAGCCAGGCCCCCCTTCCAAAAAGCCCCAGTCTTCAAAATATAACTGTAAGTTAAGGACCAAGCATTTAAAAACATGAGCCTCTGCAAAACATTTCCAATTCAAACATAAGACCCTATATGCTGTACAATTTGTTTCACCTACCTTGATTCTGACTAAAGCATTGAGAATACCCTCTTCACTCCAGTCCTTCCACTTCTCACCCTTGTAAGTCTGTTAATAAGGTACTTCAGTAAGTCTGAGGCTTACAGTTAGTGACATTTGTCTTGATGTCCTCCCTGGTCTGAGCCTCTGCCTTCCTTGTTTGCTCCTTCCCCACATACACATGCACTTGACCTCATGCCCTCTCCTGTCTTCCAGATCATCAGGTCTAGGCAGGACTCTATAGTCTGGACTTTTACCTTCCTCTGTCTTAACTGCTCTCTCTGTTTCTCCAGGAATGACAGCTACCATGAACAACTCCTGTGCTCTGTACATGAATGCACATAACTCTATCCTCCTCACAACCTTAGTGAGTACTTAGTTTCATTTCTGTTGCTTCAATGAAATACCTTGACAAAAAGCAACTTAGGGAAGAGCTTAGTTTAGCTCACAATCCCAGGTTAGAGCTCACCATTGCAGAGAAGTCAAGGTGACAGGGATTTGAAGCGATGAGCCAGATTACATCCATAGTCAAGAGCAGAGAGAGAATGCACACTCGCCTGCTTTTGCTTAGCTCCTTCTCTGCACTCATATAGTCCAGAACCCAGATCCAGGAGATGGTGCCGACCACAGTCTTCCCCCTCAGCTACCACAATCAAGACAACCCCCTACAGATATATGCCCATAAGCCGACCCAAATTTAGAGAATCAGTCATTGAGACTCTCTTCCCAGGTGTCAAATTGACAAATGAAAATAATTGTCACAACCTCTCATCATAAGTAAGAACTTGATTTGTAAAGCTACTTCAATTTTGTTTTCAAGAGCCCAAACTTAAGCCTGTGTATCTCTGACCCAAAAGCCTGAGTCTTTCTGCCATTGCCATCATCAGGTGTCAAATATAAAGAAACTGAAGTGGCTGTAGCTGGGAGTGGCTGTGTGATCACTTTCTCCTAAGGCACAGGAGGAAAGAAGTTTTCATTTTATTATGTTATTTCCAGGAACCCGATACTTCAGTACAAAGGAATATATCTCAGTAGTGACATCTGTGGATACTTTGGATTTTTAAAATTTTATTTATTTATTTTTTATGTGTATGAGTGTTTGGCCTGCATATATGTAAGCATATATGTAAGTGCACCTGTGCATGCAATGCCCGTAGGGCCAGAAGAAGACATTGGATTTCCTGGAACTGAAGTTCTGGACTGTCATGTGAGTGCTGGGAACTGAACCTGGGTCCTGTGCAAGAGCAAACAACGTTCTTAACCAGTGGCTGAGCCACCTCTCCACCCCAGGCAACATCCTCTTAATCTCAATACAGAAAGTACCTTACATGTCTAGTAGAAAATAGGGCAGAGAATATTTATTTGTGCTTCTCTGCCTCCCCAAGTGACTTAAATTACCCACAGGACTCACAAGAGTGCCTTTAGGACAGACTGGATAATCTGAGCTGGAATCTTTCCTATGCTGTGAGATACCTGTTGCCTTTGCATCTCTTAATCTTTATCCTATTGGTCGTGCAATTCTGGTTTCTAAGCTTCTGAGACAAAAAGAGGCCTCAGTGAGAGCTCACTAACATCCTGAAGACGTTGGTTCTATTTCTGCTTTGTTCATGGAAAGTCTTTCTTTGCTGAAGCTTTTTATAAATTTTTTATATTAGTATATTATAACTTTTAAAAAATGTTAGCAAAGAGGACTCACAGAGTAATCACAGTATTAAATGACTTCTGGAGTTTGCTTATTTCTATTGTAACTGAGGCTGCAAATATAGAATAATTACCTGAAGCAACTATTCCTAACTCTTTTACACAATGCAGGCACAAACTCCATTTAAAAAGAAGTGTACCTCCTGGGTCCCCACTATGCCACACACACACATTATACTCAGTGTGTCTCTTAAGCCTTAGAGCACACTTATGAGATAAATTCTTCAAATTTTTCCTTTTTAAAGAAGAGAAAACAGGACCCCAGAGAGGTTAAGTAACCAATCCAAGGTCACACAGCTACTGAATCCTCACACAGGGCCAGGAATTGAACCCAGATAGTCTGATGGCATTAGGGAACCAAATCTTACCACTAACATAAACATTATGCAGATATCATTAATGCTCATTGATGGACAAGAATCTTGCCTTATATCTGTAACAAATCTTATAGTATTTATTTACAATTCTGTGTTGGGGTTTTATTTACTGGCAGGAACACTAGAAGGCTGGGAAGAGAGAACAGAGTGCATGAAGCCATTGAGTCGATGCCTCAGCTTCCCAGCATCTAGGCTTCTGATAAGAACTTGCACAATTCTCTCTTTCAAAATTAGGTATTTTATCACCTGGGTTCCTAGCTCTCCATATCACCAATTGACCTACTTTTCAAACGTATTTGTTTTAAAATGGTCATTAAAGATTGTCTTGATTCAGTCAAAGATAAAACTTGGGATCACTCAGCTCTGAAAGGAAACAGGGAAACTGTCCAAGGGGCCAACTCGACAGGATGCTGGCCAGAGCACTGACACACTTTGATCAAGAAAGGTGTCTGTGCTGTGAGAGGACAGGCAGCTTTCTTCCCTTGAAAGATCTGAGCAATATCCCAGTCTCTGTCTGATACATGAGGAGTCTTTACCCAAGGCCATAAGAACAAGAGTGTCTCACACTGCTGGGGTTGGTGAAATGGACTCATGAAGTCAGCCAGATAGTGAGTCGGGGCATCACAGCTGAGCCGTTAAATACCAAGCACTCTGTCGCCAGCTGGGGTCTCAAAGGTGAGCAAAACCACATGTGAACTTGCCCTTTTGGAATGGTTTGTTTGTGTCAGACATCTCACCTGCAAACACATCATCATAAATCCAAATGAGTGCTGGGAAGCAAGGAATAGGATTCTATGAAAGGATGGAAGTCCAGTCTCCCAGAACAAGTGGCACAGTCATGGGCTGATAAAGAAACAGTCAAAGGGGTGGAGCAAAAGTGGACTCTCAGGAAGAGGAAAGAGTGTGTACAAAAGCCCTGTGGTAACAAGGCCACTGATGGTCCAGACAGCATCTCTATGCAAATAAGAAGAAAAATATCACTGTGTGGGGATTTTCACTGTCATCATTCCCTAATTTTCAGCTAAAGCAAGGCATTCACTGCCAACTTCTAGAAAATCATTGTTCATACAAATTTCATTCTCTGGAACATCAGTAGCACAATCCTGGGCTAGCACCATATTGACTGTTATATCTGGCCACCAAGCACAATGTGGCTGGCCAAAGTTAAGATGTGGCATAAGAGTCACATTAGACTTTAAAGATTTAGCTGGAGTAAGGAAAGATAAAGATAGCTCAATTATTTTCACATTGGTTCCATGTTCCAGTGATACTAGTTGGATAAATAAATAAATAAAATACCTTTAAACTGAATTTCACTTCTATTTTATGAGGCTTCAGAATGTTTAAAATGACACACAGGGCTTTATGGCTCCTACAATATTTCTACTGAACACTATTGTGTACTCTGATAGAGTGGCTTTGAGTGCCTCAGAGCCCGACCAACCTGAGTGGCAGAAATGGCCATCAGGGTTCAGGAACAGAAAAAGAGAGCACAGTCATGGTCCCAAATCCAAGGAGGACAGTTATGTGAGATAGGGTGGGACCAGGCCATATTTGTCATCTACACCTGGACCGTGCCACAAGCTTTGTCCTTTCTTTTGTGTTCGTATTGCTTTCCTTGCTTCGAAGTTGGTCCAGTGAGTGATTTATTTGAAAAGGCTCAATGACCAAGATAATCTCTAAGCAGGGCACACGGTCTAGCATGAGCCCACAGGCAAGCAAGTGGGCCATTCAATCAAGTGTGAAAAGTCCTGTAGGTAGGAAAAGCCTCTGAATGCCAAATAATTGGAAACTGTTATTGGTAGGTGGACTTGACAACAGAGAGATTTCCACACAGATTCCACATCAATCATGAGACAAGGTGTCAGGATGTGGTTTATGGTGGGGGTTCTCTGAGCCAAGGGCCACACACTGTAAAGCAGAAGAAATGGCCCAGCCCACCATGTGAAGACCTCTCAGTGTCTACATGTAGATATATCTTTTCCACAGGAGGCACATACAATTGTCTTTGGCCTTCTGGTTGGATAATGTATTTCTCTAGCAGTCAGAGAAGAAACCGAGCCAGTTTCATTGGGAATTCAGCTAAAAAGCAATGGGTTGAAACTTTCACTCAAGAGTACTGAGAAATGCAAGGGGTTCTGTATCCTACCTCGGAGATACTTATACAACCATATTTATTCCTAATCTAGTCACAAGGGCCAGGAAATGGAATCAGTCTAGGTATCCACCAACACATGAAAGCACAATGAAAATATGATACATATGCATAATGGAATTTCATTCAGCCAAAGAGAAAAACAAATTTATGACATTTTCAGGAAAGTGAATGGAGCTGGAAAATGTTATATTAAGTAGTGAGGTAACACAGTTTGGATCACTAAACTAAGTATGTACAAAGATGCCACAAGAAAATTTACTCCTTTGGATGCTAATTTAAAAATTAAATAGACCCCGGGGGATGAACTTGCACTGAGGGACATCTAGAGGCACTAACTAGACTCAATAGACCTTAACATAAATGATAGAATGCATGAAATCCAGTGGGGGGGGTGGCTGTGGGAGGGTGTCGATGGGGAAGGGGGTATAAAGATGATTAAGATGTTGTTTATGAATTCAAGAAAAATATACGAAAAAATTGAAGAAGACACTAGAAGATGGAAAAGATATCCACACTCATGTGGAGTTCCACATCATCAAACCAAAACTGCTTTATCTAAGCTTCCTTAGAAATCAGAAGAGTGATAATAGCAAAATTTCCCAAACAGGTCAGTTTCTATTGGCATGACAACTTCCCTTTGCCCAGGCCTTACGCACACAAGAAAATTATAATTTTTAGATGTCTCACCCAATCTGACAAGGTACAGCATTACTACAACAACATCATAATTACCTGAACAAATAAGCCTAACTCTTAAATTTAGTTTACAAGAGCGGGCCTGCAGTCGGAGGACACTTGTTCCCCTAGATATTTCTTAGAACCTTGGAACTGTGTCCCAAGACTTGCCCCACCAATAATTTTATTCAAAATGGTCTGTCCAGCTTCAGGTGGGGAAGTACAAGCTTGGCTCCACCCTAAACTTACCAGACCATATGGTCTTTCCATTCCTACTTCTAGGTCCCACATCCTTCCCAGGCTCTACTGTGCCCATGGAGATGGGCTTCTGCCTTCCAGTGCTTTGATATGTTAATTGTCAAGCACACCCACATTCATTCAATCGTCCATTATCTTTTTGGGTGAAGCACCAAATTGAGGTTGTCGGGCGCTAAGGTCACAGGACACAAGAGCGCATGGTTTTGCCAGGGTTGATTAAAAATCATTAGTCCAGATTATGTGCATTAATAAAGGTCATTCCCACAGCAAGGAAAGAAGTTTGGAAGGACCAGCTTCTCTGTTGTTGCGATGGTTGTTCTGCATTATTTTTCAGCCTTCTAAAATTACCAATCTCCTCTGCTCTGTCCTTCAGGGCACTTCCTCTATTATATAAGGAGGTGTTGCCTAATTCTAGAACTGATAATAAAACCAACTGAGCTCTTTAAATTGTTGTAATTTTGTCCTTGAACAGGACAGTTAAACTTTCCTTCAACACAAGAAGTAGATGTCCCAACTGCCCCCATTTTGCATTCCAAAAGTAGAAACCTTGGAAAGGGTCACTAAACCACCTGGAGGCACAAGGCTTCAAACCCAGGCAGGGCTCACACCTTCCTTCCACCCCAACTTCAAACCCAGGCAGGGCTCACACCTTCCTTCCACCCCAACTTCAAACCCAGGCAGGGCTCACACCTTCCTTCTACCCCAACTTCAAACCCAGGCAGGGCTCACTTCCACCCCAACTTCAAACCCAGGCAGGGCTCACACCTTCCTTCCACCCCAGCTTCAAACCCAGGCAGGGCTCACACCTTCCTTCTACCCCAGCTTCAAACCCAGGCAGGGCTCACACCTTCCTTCTACCCCAACTTCAAACCCAGGCAAGGCTCACACCTTCTACCCCAACTCACCTCTGCTACATGGAGCTTAGAGTTGCTGGACTAAACATGTCCTTGAGTTTCATTTATTTGAAAAGCAATGAAAGAACATCAAGAAAAAAATAGAACTAGAAATTATGCATTTTGAAGTACTCAACAATGTGAAAACATACTGTTTCTACTTATTATTGAGTCAAAAAGACAGCATTTTAAATTTCTAAAGTGACTGATTTTCTTTCACTCAGAAATTTACACATTATTTTAAAGCATAAAGCAATAGAAAAGGCTGTTTTATCATTCATTTCTTACAGAGAGGCCCAAAAGTGGACAGTGTGCACACACTGACCCTCAAGATTAGAGTTCAGTGAGACAGCTGCCAATATTGCATCAGAAATGAGGGCCAGACTTGCTTCATCCCTCTCATTGGAGGATCACACAGACCAATTACTATAGTGAGAGATGCCTGTGAACCTCAGTTCTAAACAAACAAGAGCCAATGTGGGTTGATGTTGACGTCAGACACCGAGTTGGCACGAAAGCCAGGAAGACTAATCTGTTTGTGCAGATAACCTTTGCTGTAGACCCAACCTATGCCAACATTTGGATTGGGCCACCCTCAGCCTTTCCACCAAAATGACCTCTCATGACTGACTGCCTTTTCAGTGTCCAGCCTGCAGTGACCTTGCTAAAACTTACAAAAGCCAAGCCCTGGAATCCATGTGCAGGCCCCAACTATTTGACCCTGAATGAGTCATAGGCCCTCCTAGGGCCTCAGCTCCCTCATCTGTAAGTTGGAGGTTAATGATAACCCCCACTTCAGGGGAAGTTGCCAGAGCTAAATGGGTGGCTATGTCAAACCCTCAGAATGGCTGCTGGACAGCAATCACAAGTGGCCACTTTTCTCTTCCAGCATCTTTCAGAAGCTCTACCCAACAGCAGCCACTCCCCAGCCCCTCTCCCCCTTGCTCACACAGTCACCAATTTATACTTTCAAGTCACCATGAATTCACCTATTTGTAACATTTCATATAAATGGAATCATATAACATGTGGCCTTTTTGAAGATGACATAACCACAAAAGACATCTTTATACTTTAGGAGCAAACAGCAGGATCCATCCACCACCCCTCCCCCAGAATAACAGCATCATCTGCCTTTGCTCACAGTCACAGCCTCTCAGTGGGCCGACAGGAGGAGGAACAGCCTGATTTGGAGTTACACAACATTTTAAGCTTTGAAGTTCAGTTTCCATCCGACGTAGGACAGCGGAGATGCAGAGCAGCAGGTGTGTTGTTCTACCCTCTTCTTCCACAGAGGTCTGAAGGGTTCCCCTGGTGGTAGTGTTTCATTACTGGCTAATTATGTCCCAGAGTAGGAGATGAAATCCTTCAGACTTGACCTACAAGAGGAGTGTTTCCATAGAAGTAAGAAATGTTTCTCCAGTGTGAGTTCATCCACTGGAGCCTGGTCAGCCTATCTAGTGTGACTCCCTTAAGGAAGACCAACTCTCCCTCACCCAGCAGTGATCAGCTGCCAGTAGTTCCTCAGCTAAGGTTGGGTCTTTTGTCCATTTCCCCAGTTCTATGCTGGGTTTTGTCTGGTTTGAGTTTACATGGGTCTTGTGCATGCTGTCATCATTGCTAGAGGTTCATATGAGGCCTTAACATATATGACAGAATGCATGAATTACGGTGAGGGGGGTCTATGGAGAGCAGATAGGGAAAGGAATCTAAATGTGATTAAGATATATGAAATACATAGAAATTCAACAAATATCTATATAAAAAAGGAAAGTTTCTTCTTCAAACTCAAGGTATTCCCAGGCTAAGAACCTCCAAGGCTTTAAAGCATATTGTAATGACTCTTGCTTTAAAATAAATTCAGACCATCTTTCTTCTTTACTTGTAAGGAAGAAATCCCCAGTGTGGCTTTTACAGAGAAGAAACAATATAGAATGTAAGATATATATCAAATTCATTACCAATTGGAGAAGAAAAGTACAAACATGTTTATGAGCTTCTGAAAATTCTAAGATATTCTGGCATATGGACCATATGGAGGAGAATCCCAAGATAGAGGGGAGACTGCTTCAGCTACAGGTTCAGCCAGTTCAAGGTGGCATCAAGCCCTGGTCCCTCAGGCTTCTTGATGGCCAATGAGTCACAGAGAGCATCCAGGAACAGTGCACCAGTGTTGACATCACAGTTAACCATGGGTCCAGTTTTAGGAAAAAAAAATTAAAGAAATATGTTCAAAGAAAATATGTTGAACCAAATTATATTATGCAGTGGAATATTTGGACACATAAGATTCATCATATTCATATTCACATCATATTCACATCACTCATCATATTTTTATCATAATAACTATTTGTATGGTCAACTATGAGATTAAATAATTTTACTCAGAAAAGTGTAATAAAAAAGAGTAGTAAACTTGAACCCAAAACAACCTAGCGCAAATCGTAACTCATTTGTTCAATATCCTTGCACCTCAGACAAATACTTTTGTTTCTTCATTCTGGGCTTCCATTATAAAACAACCATGATCCACCCACCCCTGCCACAGGACATTCCCAGCTCCAAGAATCTATTGAAGTTTCTCTCTTCTATTAAGCTAATGTGAATTGTTGCACTACCACCAAATCCCTCAGAGCTGGTGTCCCAGACTCAGGTTCAAATTCCAAAAGGGAGAAACAACTGATGATTGAGCTTCCCTTAATAGCAAATAGTTTGAAAATTAAATGAATTTTCCAAAGAAGCACTGATCTTCAGTCAGGCAAGGACATGATTAAAATGGAAAGTAATTTTTAAATGTAGCAATGGATCAAAAAAACAGTAGTGAACTTATCACCCTTGCTTTTTAGTTGTCACAGGGGCAGGGTGTTCTGACACCTCTATAAGAAAGCTACATCCTTCTAAAGGTGTTAAGCTCCAAGCTGGCTAATGGTCCAGCAGCAGGAGTAGCAGGCAGAGCGTGAAACTGAACAGTACTTGAGTGACAGGGAGTTAATTACAACATGGACCCAGTGTTGGACCATTTTGTGGGTCACAGACTGCTCTTCTCTAGCGGGGGCCCTGGAGAAGGTTGCTTTGTTACCCGAGTGGACTCAAACTTTTTTTGCGAGTGGTGAAGCCTCCCAATGCCTTGTGGTTTCTCTGATTACAGGATTACTCAGGCCCACTGGGATATCTCTTCTAGGTCAGTCTTCTTTATCAAAGGACCCAGTAGTGACTCTGGGCATTCATTCCTTTAGAGTGTCAAGGCTCTTGATTATAGTGAGGTTACATTACACTCTAGCCCAGTCTGAAAGGGACGTGAGACTTACTCTGTATATTAGACCTACTACTCATAAGGTTGAATGTTGCCCTGCTGTATAGCTTCTCAGAAACTGGGCTGCAAAGAGCACGGGGAAAACTCAGGCATGGAAATTGCACAGTTTACATGCAAACATCTTTAAACTGCCTTTTGAGATTACACGAAGTTTTCATTTACAGTTTACACGTGATGAAGTGCACTGTTAGAACTGGTGAAATAAAAGCAAACCGTAATCCACTTGGGCTCCCTTTCAAACCTTGAGATTTTCACGAGCGTTTGTTTTCCAATCCATGTGAACAAAGTGAGAGAGATCAGCTTTCATTGTAGCCAAAATAGTTTGCAGGAGCTGATGAAAATATGTCATCATGAGGCAGATAAGAGGGTGCACATGATGTCAACACAAGGTCAAGAAAATTTCAAGTTAAATAACTAGTTCTCCGTGGCCTATTTTGAACATTCCATCTCTTTGCTCAGAGGAAATCTAATTTTTAATTTTGCAGGCCTTCTCTACAAATGCTCAGAACAGAAAATCTCAACTCTCCTCTTGTGTTCCTAAGCTTATATCTCAACAGTATCTACCAAGTGCCCACTGACACGCTGACACTCAGTTTACTGCTTCTAGGAATACAAAGCCTAAATAAAGGTTTCCCTTCAGTTCTGTTAGGACCAGGCTTCTGAGTGGGTGTCATGCTTCGTAGTGACAGGTTGGTGAGATTTTATATAAACTGGCCTCTGCTTTTCAAAGAACAAGAGTGATCATTTTTTAATAAGCTTTGATAAGAACTGTTTACAACCCAAGCCAATTGTCAATGCAGAAAAGGTGTTAAGAAGTAAGTGCCTTTTAATGTGGTATTCAGAAACTGCCCTCAGTACTTAGAAATTATTTTAATCTCCTTCTTGGGGCACAGAAATGGGATGGGGCTTCTATTTATGTTACTCACAAACACTGGAGTGATTTGATTTTGCTATTTTCAGTGCTTTCAAGAGACACAGCATCTATAATTTGAAACTAGGCTAAATGCTTGCACGCGTGTCTTCCTGCTGAGATCACAGATGGTGCTTTTTGTATCTTCAGCAAAGAATGTGTTGACACGTGGACAAGCAAGCAGAACCCTAGCATAAAAGGAGACCTAATAGATCTGTTTAGATCCAAGCTTCTCAACCTTGAACTTTTGCTGCTTGGAATCAGATCATTCGTCCTTGAATAGGACTCTCTGCGTATGGTAGGCAGCTTAGCCAATCTCTGCCTCTTCCCACTAGATGCCATAGCAATCCTCCTGTCATAAAAAAAAGTTCCCAGATATTGTCAAGTATTTTCTAAGGGACAAAAATCACTCTCCATTGACAAACACTGATTTAAATGAGAAAGGGTTTAGGAAGGGGGCAGGAGTATGGTACCTAAGTCAGCCAAGGGACCTGAAATGGATTTCTAGTTATCAAAAATCACATTTTATGATTGATGAGATGGCTTGGTGAGGGTGCTTGCTGTGTAAGCTTGACACCCAAGTTCAATCCCCAAAACCCACAATGGGAGGATAAAATCAACTCTCAAAAGTTACCTTCTGATTCTACATGTGCACCGTACACAATTGCTCCAGCACGCAAATTCAGCACATACATCACACACACACACACACACACACACACACAAACAGATTTTTTAAATCACATTTAAGAGTGCTTTTAGTAGATAGCGAGGAGCTTCTAACCCATAGCCTGTATAAATGCATCACAGTCTTGTTTTTGCAAGATCGTGACTTATCTGAAAGGTTGAGATAAAGTATACTCATTCTTTTTAAGATAGAGCATTTTCTAGACTAAATAATCAATGAAATAATAACCAAATAGTAGACCAAATAATAAGACTGGTCCAAACTATATTTTTGTTATTCTAGAACATATTACTGATAGAAATGGAAAAGAAAATCTTCTTAACATTTCTGCTCCAGTCTCATAAAGTTGATGGCTTGTGTCTTTTCAAATCTCTGTACCACTCATAAAGTGGA